TATACTCATCTATGCGAGAAAACATGTTAAGGGGTCTCGGTTAGCCGAAAAAGTCAAAAAATAGAAGCTTACTGGCGGCACAGTTTTATGTTGCGGCCGCTCCGCCAACTTACCTTCGCGGTTGGATTTTTTCTTCGGTCAACCTGTGGAAAATAGAATGGTGAATACAATGGTGGAAAAATCGCACGAAACGGAAATTGAGAAGGACCTCATCGGATGCAGTTTTTGGTTATTTTTGCAACGGCACCACCGGGTTTTACCCGCGGTTTCTGGCTCATCCATCAGTCCTTTTGCTCTAATTTGGCCATGGTGGTGTTCAAATTCAAATTTCGAGCTAGTGAAAATTTTAATACCTTTTTTGGCAGTCGGAGGTGGCTCTAGCGCGGCGATGGGCGGCGGTCGCCTTCCTTCTCCGGCTATTGGTTATTCTTCTCCGACGGAGAACTGACGGCTAGGGTTAGGGTTCAGTGTGAAGTGAGATATTTATACCCATCTGCCTTTAATCTGAGTTGTCCATCACGTTTGATCTCGACCGTCCGATCGCTTTTAAAGAGGAAATGAATATGGATTGTTCATCGTAATTTGATCTGAACTGTACGATCATGTTTAAAGAGGGAACGGATCCGGACTGTCCACGCAGCACGCTCCGGTTCATCGGGGCTACTGACTGGGTGATTCTATGTGGCACATTTTTTCTAAATTGTGTTTTGACTCTTAGTTTCTTGTTTTTTTTTTCAAAAATACCACCCAGACCCAAAATTTCACCCCTTTTTTCCAAAATTATTTTCAATTTCATCATCCACCGATTTTTTTCTAATTTTTACATTAAATAAAAATTTATAAATTATTTTTTATATATTAATTTTAATTTTTAAAATTAAATGTCGGGCCAAATTTTGGGACCGGATATTACAAAATCAGCTCGTGAAGGCCACACACCCTCACCCAAATAACATCACAGAATTAGACACTCAACACTGGAATACTCAACTTGTAGAAGTCACACACGCACACGCAAAGTACATCACGAAATTGTACATTCAAGCTATAACATTTGGCCTGTGAATGCCACACACACACATACACACACCGACATCTTCATTGACGTTCGTCGCACTAGAACACACAACTTAAGTGTTCCTCTTCACTTATATGATTTTGCCCTAGCCTATACAACTTACTCTCCCTCTAGGACCTCACCCGGCCGCTTCCAGACGAGCTTCAACAATTTCCTCCCAATTGGCACCACTTCTATCTGAATTTGACCTAATGTCTTAAGGCTCGTCCCTTTTCCACCACTCCTGATAACAAGACTCAATATATTCTAAGAAAAAAGGAAAAATATAGATTTGAACATGCTTTACCATACCAGAGTCTGAAGTCCTAAATTTTCTTACCTCTTGCCTCCATTTCCTATCCCTCAGCAACAATTCACTCAACTCCTCCTGTTCTTCGAATTCTCCCTGAAATTTCACGTTATTTCGTCTCCTTCTCCTGCCCTCTCTCTCTCTCACGATCTCCCTCCTTATTCTCTTTCTCTTTTTCCTTTTTCTCTTTTCTTCTTTTTTTTTCTCCTTGTCCCAGACTCCCCCTTTTATACCCAACCTAGCTCAAATCCTACCCATTAAAAATCAAATCTCTAATCTCTACTATTTATTTTACTCTTTATAACTCTCTCTTGCTCTCTCTCCCTTATTCACCTATGTTAAGCTACTGCAATCAATATTTAAAAATTATTTAAATTATAATTAATTTTGAATCTACCCGTATAATTAGAATTTATAATAAAATATAATAAATAATAATTAAAAATAACAAAAAAAGATAAATAATTGCTATTATAGTTAAATTCAAATAAAATTGAGCCGCATGTGATGGTAGTAGTGATTTTATGTCCAACTTAGAGAATCAAAACGCCACATGAAAATCAGCATCCAATTGAAGGCAATTTGCGTATGTAAAGTAGATAATAATAAATTCAAATTTTAATTTGAAATACTCTGTTTCTAGGTTTTTTAATTTTGGAAATTGTATTTTGTTTTGATAATTAATCCACTTATTCAATTGACTGATTCATTCATTTGACTAACATGTAAATTATAAAATAATGAACTGTAACAAAAAAATTATTAAATCTTAATAAATTAAAATTTTGAAACTATAACTGAAATTTATGATAATAATGAAGAAAGTGATAATAACAATGGATAATATATCAAAAATTCATGGTGGTATTTAATAAAATTTTAAATTGATTTCTAAATTATTTTTTTAATTCAAATTACTTTAAATAAGTTTTTATCATTAATAATGTGTTTGGATAAATATATACGTGATAAAAATGTATCAAGGTAAATATTAAATTTTATAAATATTGTCAGTATCATGACCATATAACTAATTTTTTATATTTTTTGTAAATCTTAAACTTAGTTTTGTAACCCTAAATCTCTATTTCTAAAAGGGTTTTTTTTTTTTGTTTTGACGAACAAATGTGACTAATTTTGTATGTTAGATTAATCTTTTGTAATATTATATTTTTAGGTATTTTTAAATTTAGTGATAGTTCTTAACTGATAATTGAAAATAACAAAAGTGATTTAAGATTTTATTATAGTTTTATGTCATTTTGTTATTAAATTATATGTTAAACTAATCTTTTGTAATATTATCTTTTTGAGTATTTTTAAATTTAGTGATAGTTCTTAACTGATAGTTGAAAATAACTAAAGTGATTTGAGATTTCATTATGATTTTTTATCATCTTGTTATTTTGTTATTAAATTATATTAAATTAATATTTGTTTTGAGATATAAAAATAAAAAATAACGATCAGTATCACAATCACGTAGATAATATTTTAAAAATATAATAATTCTATAAATACATTATTTATCATGTGATATTTATTTAAATAATATTAAATATGTTTTATGAATAAATAAAATTTAAAAATCATAAAATTGTATTTTTAGCGAAAAAAAATAGAGGTGACAAGTTCAAATTTTTTTTTTAGTACTCTATAAGTTGCTCGATATACTACGAGTAAGCTAAAAATTAAAAAGGTGCGGTGGGGCCATATACAAATTGTGGGGTCTTAAATGGAATTTAGGAGGCGTGAACTGTTAACTCACACTAGGGTGGGACCCACAAAACTTTGTGTGTGTAAAGAAAGTTGCCGTCGGAAAAGACCCATCCACCCGGTCCAAGCAAGTAAACACAGAACCTTCTGGAGACACAATCTCCTCCAAAATATCTACCACTCATCTTCAATCCCCACCCTTCATTTCATCTTTCCTTAATCCACTTTTTCATATTAATTAAAACCTCTTTCTAATTTCTATTTAATAATTTTTATTTTATTCTTTAAATAAAAAAAAAACTATATAACTGGCTGGTTTCTGGAGAGTTCTTGGGCCTTTGCGTTTTGGAGAGAGGGAGAGGGAATTCCGTTTCTCCCCCCCTTCCCTCTTGCTCTTTTCCCCCCTTTCCCCGCCTCTCTCTCTCTCTCTCTCTCTCTCCGAACAGAACAAATTCTAAGGTTCCATGTGACAGAGAAAATGTAGTTTTATGTTTTTTATTTTTATCCGAAGAAATCAGGTTGTGTTTCATTTTTATGTTGTGAGAAGAAGAATCTTAAACCTCTGTGTCTTGAGTCTGGGTAAAAGAAGTGGTTTTATTGTTTAAGGTCTTTGTGGGTATCGAAGATGGCGGATGGAGAAGACAAGAACAACAGTGATTTGTATGCGGTTCTTGGATTGAATAAGGAATGTACTCCAGCAGAGCTCAGGAACGCTTATAAGAAACTTGCAATGGTCAGACTTCTCTCTCTCTCTATCTCTCTCTCTCTATCTCTCTCTCTCTCATCCTATTCTCTTCTCTTTTTCTTGACTTTTTTCTTATAATTTGCTTTCTGGGTTTCTTTTTTTTTTTTTTTTTCTCTTTTTTCAATCGGGTGGGAGTCAAATTTAAGTATTTCTCTGAAAGAGGAAAGCTTTTTTCTCTTCATGCTCAAAGCAAATGAACTAGTACTTTCCTCAGGTTGCATGTTTATTAATTTCGATTGCATGATTTCGGTCAACTGGGTTTTCTTATAATCGAATGTTTTGATCCAAACAAGCTGATTAAGTTCCTGGGTTAGAGCTGCTGGGTAGGGTAGGAACTTGGGAACAGAAACAGGAAGAAGGAATAAAATTTTCTGAGAAAATCTTGTTTGGATTCCACGGAAATTTGCGGTGAAAAAAGTGTTTTTTTCTTTTTCTTTGGAACTGTGGACAGAGATGGCATCCAGATCGCTGTTCCGCGTCGGGGAATTCAATGTTTGTGGAAGAAGCAAAGAAGAAATTTCAGGCAATCCAAGAAGCCTACTCTGGTACTTTCTAATAATTTATTTCAATTTGCAAATTTCAACGAAATTTAAAATAAAATTGATTTATTTATTTACGAGATCATGTTAATCTCTTTTCTCCACCTCTGTTTATGTGGGTCTACAGTTCTTTCTGACGCAAACAAGAGGTTTCTGTACGACGTCGGAGCTTACGAAAGTGATGACGACGAAAATGTGAGTTTCTGTTTTCTTTTTTTTTGTTCTCATTTTATGTTTTTTCCTTTTTTTTTTTTTTTCCTTAAACTAAAATTTGTGTCCCTCCGGGTTCTCCTTTGTCCAGCTCTGTAATCATATGCTTTCCCAAGATGTCTTTATTGGGATTTATATTTGGGTACCATGTTCCTTTTTTCGATAATGTAATTGTTTAATTATTTGGCCATGGTGGAAACTACAGTTGAATTTCTCTAGGGTTACTTAGCTTCCATACTCATAATGACTTTTAACATTTTTTGAATTTTTTAAGTAAAAATTTATACATTCATTATTACTGCAACATATAGATACTAATTATAGTATAAAAAATACTTTATAAATAAAGACATTTTCACGTTTCTTTTCCATGTATTTATCCATTTAGGTACTGATGTAAGCAATATTTAGCTTTTATAATGAATTTATGATATACCCTTTTAAAGAATTTTCTAATTCCCTTCATGGGATTGGTATATGATTGAGTAATATTGTGATTGTTTTCCGGTTTTGGCAGGGAATGGGTGATTTTTTAAACGAAATGGCAGCCATGATGAGCCAAACAAAGCCTAATGTTAGTTTTCCTTCCTTGATTTGATTAGTTAGTTAATTATTGATTAATTGGGTATTATGGTACCGATGTTTGGTTGGCTAATGGGCCGGTAATTGCCGGGCTCGTGAATGGCCCAAAATCATTGATGTGTATGATGATGTACGTGTTCAAATCTCATAAAATCAATATATTGTGGGCCCATTGCATCATTTTTATTCTTATTTTTTCTTAATTTCTAAAACAAAAATTTCTTAAAGCCAAGAAAAGTAATTATATGTTCTTCTCTCTGGTAAAGCTAAGGCACAGTTGTAGGCAACTGTCATTTTCTTCTAGCAAAGTTCAAAATCGACGACGACCTGTCTGGTCCCCCAGTCATAAAGTGTAATTCATTTATCTGTCTGTGTTTTCCAGGCCTATATCTATCTTTCAGGCCCTTGCCATGTGAGTGAGAAAGTGATTAGGCTCGCTACACTAGTATTTATTTCTCATTTAATCCCATCAGTGCTAATACAAATATTGGATTAGATATAAGAATTAAGCTGGAACAGAATGAGAATTGAATCATATTGAAACCCAGTGTAAACAAAGAAAGAAAAAAAGAAAGAAAGAAAATGGTTTTGGTTTTGGCAAATGATCCAACTTTTTAATCCATTTTCAAGAGACAAAGTGAAAAACTTTCTTAACCCCATGAATTCTTGCATTGAGATTGTTGTTATTTAGGTAGCAAAGTGTTAATGATCTTGCCATTGAGAAAAAAAATGGTGGTTTTTTAAAAATGGGAACAATATTTAAGTTGCAATGTTTGGGGTTGTGAATAAACAGGAGAATGGGAATGCACAAGAGAGCTTTGAAGAATTGCAAGAGTTGTTTCAAGAGATGTTTCAAGGGGATATGGGATTCAACACATTTGGATCTAGTTCTCAGCCTACTACTTCTTCGTGTTCTGCTTCCTCTGCATATGCAACCTGTAGCGAAACCTCCAATCCTAACAACAACAAGCGCAATTCATCAGAAATGAATTATGGCAAGAAAAAGGTAGATGATTCTTCAGGGTTTCATGCTCATTTCCAAACCTTTTGTTTAGGGGTAAGTGCTCTCTAATCTTCTATGTATTCTTGATGTGCACTATATGCCTTTAGTATGTTTTTTTTTATTTAAATTATTCGAGTATAGATGAGTGATATTGGATTGGGGGAACTTCTAAAAGTGTACTCTCATCCTTTTTGGCTGTGTTTGGAGCAGGGACAACATACCCTAATCTGAGAAGGGGTTGAGCTGGTGCCATTCGATACGGGTCAAAATCAAATCATGATACTCTTGTTAATTTTCCTCTATGAACTGCAAATGAAATTGGGTTTCCAAGTTCCTATGAACTGTTAATTGTGGTTCAATTTGGCTTGTAATTACATGCATAAGCCATGAATATATAACATGTTTGCACATGAGGTGTAAACTGATTATCTTCGGTAAGTTGTAGTGGTAATGTTAGATGATCTTTTGCTTGTGAGAGGTCTATCATTAGATGATCTTTTGCTTGTGAGAGGTCTATCATTTGATATTGAACCTTGCTATTACAAATTACATAGTTGATCTCTGATAATCTGATCTTTATCCAAGTCTCTCATAGTTGTCATCGGCCTTTCTTTTCTTAACTTTCTTCTTAAGGTACTATCATTTGCTCTTATATAAACTAACATTACAAAAAAAAAAATCTCGTTCTTTGGAAGATCTATCTCGTGTCTGGAATTGCATAGTTCTACTCTGCAATAATTCTGAATCATTCACTGAAGTTCATCCTTTTCTTGATAAAGGATCCACTTGCCCCGAAATGACCTTGGCCAATAGGGAAATGCCAATTTATTGGACTTTTCAATACAATCAAATAGAAAGCTCTAGAGGGTTCATATTTTAGGAGTTCAAATTATGTGATTGAATAATTTCTCCTCTATGTGAGGCAGCAAAACATTGAACTCGTTATATATGGTATGGATTCGAGAAAGGTCATATATGTTATTTACTTGAACTAACCATGCATAGAACCTCATCATGATTGAACTTGTTGATGCAAACTTTGAATTAAATGTTTGCTGTTTGAGAAGATGCTGCAAACCACATGAAGTAGACATTGATGCTATGTTTGTGTGTGATCTTGTGAAGACAGGTGGAACAGCAGCAAGATTTCAAGAAGGGGAAGGAAGCAAGAGGAGGAATTCGAGGAAAACCCGGAGGTAGTAGGAGGCAGGGAAGGAAACAGAAGGTTTCATCTCGCCACAATGTCTCATCCAATGACTTGGGCATTTCTGCTTCCTGATGTATTTGTCTTACCCGTTGACTGAAGCAGATTCCGCACAGGAATTTTTTTTTCTAACTCGCGGTATATTGACCCGGACAAGTCAGGCAGACAAAGGCACACACCCTGTGGCATGTCTGATCTCTTATCATCTTGAGGGAACAAACACCACCAATTTTGGTGATTGCAGAAGCATCAGAAACCTTCTCAGTTTGGCTCTCTTAATCAAGGCTTAGAAAATGGCTTTGATCTTCAATGTAGTAGTTATTTGCCATGGCTGCCAGTAAAGTTCATCTGTAGTGTCACGATCCTGTGTTTTTCTCCTGTTTCTAGTGTTAGTATCTTTCTATGCTAGTCAGTGGATCCTATTCAATCATTGTTATACTATCATATTTGTTTAGTACATACATGTTTCAGTCAAGAAAAAGTTAGATGGGGGTATTAAATTTTCGCAATTTACTCTAACCAAGTGAATTTAGTTAAAAGTTCTGTAAAGATCAAATTTAATTCAACATTACATTTTTATTAATATATTAATAAATTAAATTTTAGAGCCTGTTCCCCTACTTTTTCAACTTTCAATTTTGAAGATGTGTTGATTTGATTTGATCTTCATTGCCCAACATATTCAATCAAATGGAAAATGCAGGTGTAATTGCGTATGCTTAGCTTTTTCTTCCTACTTGCTCAGCTCCGGTAGATGGCTGAATAATCTCCACATTATTATTATCAATAAGGTCCTACATAAACACCACATATCCCCAAAATTTCACCTTTTCTTCACGAATCAATATGTTATATGCATATATATTTATATAGAGACGCACCACACTACATATTTTTTTATTTACACTTTTAAAAGTGCATTCGCTTAATTAATGCTTTTTAACACTTTTTCTTGGAATGCTACCTATAAAAGTTTGAGCTAAATCCCTTTTTTAGTTAGATTAATGCGTATTAACTTAACTAACTCACAAATATTTATTGTTAATTTTGAAATAGTAAATATGAGTATATATACTTCTTTCATTATAATATGTATTTTTTAGGCTAACAACAAAAAAAAAAAAAACATATTAGAATATTATTATTAAAATTAAAAAATTGTCTTATTCGTTTTTTAACTCTTCAACTTAGATAAAGTGATTTGTTTGAAAGTTGAAAATATTATAACATATGTTGGAATTTTGAAAAGAATTTTTGTCGGATAATTTCGGATAAAAATTTATTTTAATAGAATGACAGATTGCCGAATGACTTCATAATAAAAAATATTTTAAAATAATACAATCATATTACATATGAGATAATTAATTTTATTTTATTAATAATAATTTAATTAAATTAATAAAAAATATATAAAAGATAATTAATAGCGAATCATTAATATTTGACATAAATTTTTATTTTGAATAAAAATTTTATAAAATTGACTATTTAACTTATTAATATGTTGATGAAATTATAATATTTAAATTTGATTAAATCTTACATTTTATAATAGATAATTTTTTTTTTTATTAAAATCGGTACAATATATTAAAAATTTAATGTAATCTTCTATTTAAAAAAGAAGGAAAAAAAATTGAAGGTACAAGTTGGATGTCGTAAATTGTACTTTTGAGACTTTCTAAGCAACAAGTTAAAAGGCATCGTTATAATATGAGTTGGGAGAAACCAAGTTGAGAACATAATAACATGAAAAGCTTCAATTACTACCTCATATAAATATCACGGGACCATCATATAAATATAAATATATTTAAATTTTTTTAAAAATTAGAATTATATTTATCAATATTCATAGTAATATATATTGTATTATTACTAAATCAGTAATATATATATATATACGTAGAGCAAGTCAAGTCATGACGACTCTTTCTCTGTCGCTTTTAATTGATCCGACCCAAATTCATATATATATATATATATATATATATATATATATTTTTTTTTTAAAAAAAAAAAAAAAACATCAAATCAATTTTAAAGAAATTAAATTTGGTAGGTTCGATTATAAAATGTCATTCATATATATATATATATATATTGTCAGATTACAATTAATTATTAGAATATTTATCTAAAACACTAAATGTTGACTCATTTTATAAATTTTCAGCGTTTTAAGTGTTGGAGAAAGATTGAATTGGTCAAAATTATTAAAGTGTCCATTAAAAATTAAATGGGGAAAGAGGAGTATACCTCATTAATAATGGGCTTTATTACTCAGGCCCAAATGGTATTTTTAGTATTTACCTAAATTATATTTTAATTATAAACAAAAATATTTTTATATTATTATTATTTTTTTTGTAATTTTAGTCATTATATTTTAAAAAAAGTTCTTACATTTTAAATTATTTTGATTTAAACCGTATTGTATATATATTGATATAATAATAACTAATATTAGATTATTTGCAAATCAATTTTTTTTAATTGAAAAAAAAAAAAAATCAGAAAGTTATGCCACAAGATTATCGTGTATTAATTAGTGCCTATTTTTCTTTATTTTAGCTTTGAATTTAATTATTTTTTTTTAAAAAAAACTTTTTAGAACAAGATACTCACTGTTGTGATATAACAAATTTGGCTAAGCAGAAACAAGACTCTGACCCAGTGGTATTATCGATATTTTATTAAACTTCAAGCCGGATTTCGTATCCCGAAACCTTAATTCAAAAAGACGAAAGCCCCACCAATACGAAAGCATTAAAAGAGACGAGAACTCCTGGTTTAGTAATTTTCTCATGTAAACGTCTCTCGTCTGCTCGTCTTCCTCCTGCTTCCCACTGGCTCTCTTTTTAGGTTGCTTACTTTCTTGCTAAGTAGCTTAAAGTTGCAGCTTTATCTCGCACTTTGCACTTTCTCTCTTTTAGGGTTTTCACTTTGACTCTTTTGAGCTATCTTTACTAACGCTATTTTCACATTTTGTGTGTTTGTTTACTTTGCTCATTGCTTGTTTTCTCTTTGCTTCTTGTTGCAGATGTCAGATTTAGCACCTCAGCTTCCTTAATCACCTGGTAGTTGTCTAAAATGACTACTTAGATTGGTGCTTGACGTTTGCATTTTTCGAGTAACTGTTTGCATTTCTGTTTTATATTTGCTTTTTTGTTCTTTCTTTTTTCGTCCTGTACTTTTTTAGTTATTGCTATGTGTTGCTTTGATGCGTTGTTGAAATTTTCTTTTCTTACTAGAGCTGAGCTTTGATTCCTTTCGCAAACTTGCTGTTCCTGTGGCTTACTTCTTTTATTTTAATTTACATTGTGTTTAATTTGTTTGCTTCTTTTAGTTGTTTTACTTGGTGTTTAATTTCTTTTTTTCTTTTAGTCGATTTACATTATGCTGCTTTATTTGATTTACATTGTGTTTGAGTTCTTAGCTTCTTTTACTTGTTTTGCGTTTTTCGTTCAATTAGCTTCGTTTTTCCGTGGTATTGCTTTGTCAGATGACTTCTCTTTGCATGTTGCCTATCTTATCTTTCATCCTCGTGGTGTTTGTTTTCTTCTCTTCCAGGAGTTACTCGATGTATAGTTTGATATAATTGACTACAAGTTCGATTTTCAGTTGATTCTTTTTTTTTGTTCTGGCTATTGAATGAAGTGAGTTGCTTGCACTCTGAGATTCTTATTTGGTTCTGAGGGCCAAGATGTCGACATCAAGAGGGGCCTCCGATCTGCAGCAGCAGCCCCCACAGAGGCGAATCATGCGGACACAGACTGTGGGTAATCTTGGAGAATCTTTTGACAGTGAGATCGTACCATCTTCACTGTCTGAAATCGCCCCCATTCTTCGTGTGGCAAATGAGGTTGAGAAGAACAACCCAAGAGTTGCTTATCTTTGTAAGTACTGTTAACTTTATGGGTTTTATACTTGTTTTGTCACTAACCTGTCTATTCATCTGATGGATTTGCGAGTTGCATTTTGTGGATAATCATTTCCAGTTCTCTTAATGTAAAATGGAAGTACAAGGTTCACACCCAAGTTATTTTACTTTCTTATGCATGTACATTAACAATTATTGACATGAATCCCATACGTCTTTAATCTTGTTTATCGTTCTACGTTCCTACTTTTTTTTATTTTTGGCATTTGTTCACGTTTGATGGAAAAGCTAGTTTTTGGAGAAGTCTTTTGTTTTTGTTTGAAATTTGCTTTTAATTGGTAGTTAGCTAGTGTGTGGATGAGGTCAGGAAAGTAATAATTATGATACTCTTTGTTGCTATAAATGTGAGAATTCCTATAAAAGAGAACCAACACTTACTGCAACTTAACCTTGGGATTACTTTTCCAAGATTTCAAAATCATAATTTATATAGATTGATGGAAATTGTATAGTATGTCAAGAGGAATTATCTTGTATGACAAGTATACATTAATATGATAGAACATTTCCATTAATAGTGTGAAAAAGTCTTCCTCTAAAAATTACTTCGGTTAATTTAGTTTTCTAGCAAGCTATTAATGTAAACACAATAGTACATCGTGTATGGTTTATGCAATATGATTCCTCAATTTTTCATAACTCCTCAATTGTTCAGTAAGTGATTGTATTTGTAACGTCTTGAGCCCAATCACTCTTAAAAATTGAAGCTCAATATTGATACTGTGTGGCTTAAGCTTTTATATAGAGTTCAATAATTACATATTTTTCTGATGTGGGATTGGTGTATCATAATTTCTGTAACTGAAATCCTTGATGTCCTCAACAAAACAATATTTCAAAATCAGAAATCACAATCCAAATGCTCATGAGGTCCAAGATCTAACACCATGCTGACATATGCTTTGATACAATTGTAATTCCCTAGAGCCAAACACCATTAGCCCAACAATTTTTCGTGTCCAAATTGCTGACTCTTAAAAGTTCAAGTTCAAGCTATTGTTAGTGCGTGTCTTAAGCTCTTATATGAAACTGAACAATCACATATTTTTCTAATATAAAATTAGGGTATCACAGAATTGATTGATGACTTTCTTAATAGAAGCTATAGAAATACTTTATAATTATATCATTATGAAATGTTTCAAAGTTCATGTGTCTGACTAATAATTGCATTTGTTGTCAGTTTCTATATGTCCTATAAAAAAATCAATATTTTTGTCTATGTTCTAATCTAGTTTCTTTCTTCTATCATCTAATCTAAAGTGTTATTTTTTTAGTGAGAAATCTTATGTGTTATTTATTGGTTGCATATCTGATTATCTGTGTATAATGCTTCTGAGTGTAGGCCGATTTTATGCCTTTGAGAAAGCTCACAGATTGGATCCCACATCTAGTGGGCGAGGTGTTCGTCAATTCAAAACTGCCCTTCTTCAGCGCCTTGAAAGGGTCAGTGCTTTTGTTTTACTTGAAGAACTTCAGTATGTTCACTGTTTTGGCTTGTAGTTGTCCTTTTTTTTTGGCCAAGAACCAGAATAATACTTAATTGAACCAATTGAATTCTTG